CTTCCCCTCCTGTTACCCTGCTGTTGGTCACCATTGTGTCTCATCTTAATTATCTAAATTGCTTCTTCTCTGTGTTCACCCTCCACCCCTGCCCTCCATGGTCTACTCTTTAAATAGCTGCCAGAGTAATGCCCCTAAAATACATGAGTCTCTTTATAGAGATAACTGCACCCTGTGACTCAAAACCCTCGAACATCCCCTAAGTCACTCAGAGTAAAGCTAAAGTCTTTGCCATGGCCGGCAAGACCTCCACGATCACTGGTATCATGTACTTCTTTCCTCACTTCACTCCTCATAGTCATGCTGGCTCACCTCTCCCTTTGCACTTACTGTCTTCTGGAACAATCTCCTCTTAGTTACAGACATGGCCCAGTCCTTCCTCGCCTTCAGGCCTTCACTCAGTAACATTGTCTCAGAGAAGCCTCCTCTGGCCACCCTGGCAGTAATTATAACACTTCTCTCAACATTTTCTTATCCCATTTCGTCCCTGCTTTATTTTTTTTTTTTTTAGTGCTTATCACGACCTGCTCTGTGGTATGTTTTATTCTTTTATCTTGTGCACTGTTTTGTCTTCCTCATGAAAATGTAAGTTCCTTGGGCACAAACTTTTCTGATCTTTTTCTCTGCTTTACCCTCGAGCATCTATCTGGAATAGTGCCTGGCACATAAGGGCACTTAGTAAATATTTGTTGAATGATTGAATAAAATGTGAGCTATTGTTTTTCTTATAGTACCAAGTACAATGTTAGAATGAAAAAGAATAATACGAGATAAGAAAACTTATACCCATCTGATCACAAGTTTATTGTACATGACACAGTGGACTTGTATCTGAAAAAATATGTCAAAGTGAATGTTCATAACTCAAAACATTTTTTAAAATTTATCTTTATTGTTGAAAGTATTACAGATGTCCCCTTTATTTTCTCTATTGACCTCCTCCATCCATACCCCCTCCCCATACCTTCCCCACACTATTGTCTGTGTCTGTGGGTTATGCATATATGCAGATAAGTTCTTTAGTTAATCTCTTCCCACCCCACCCCCCACCTTCCCTCTGTGATTCAATGTTTAAAGTATACTGACAACGTTTCTATGTCAAAGAATCTGTGATTGACCTCTTTATAAAACAAAGGACTTCAAAAAATAATTTGGATAATTTCTCCCTAATGCAGCCCTTATAAATTAAATATTTGTCAAGTTTTCTTACTTCAAAATGTGCTGATCTATAATGTGTAAAAGCAGAAAACAAGTAGCCTTTGAACTTCACACTAGCCCATTTTAGTTCTAAAATAAATTAGCAAGAAGCCCAATGGAAACTCTGAACGATGCTGGTGGGACACTTAATCTACTGTACATAGTTCTATTCTCCCAACATTCCCTCACCCACATCCACAAAAACCAGTTAAAACCATAAACTACCTAACATATTTTCAAAAGTCCCCTCTAGGGAGCAGTATTGCGTCCATTGAGAACCACTTCTCCAAGGATAGGGTAGGACTGTGAGATGTGTCCTCTGTCTCCTCTTCTGGTTTGGACCTACCTCAGCTCCTCTAATGGTAGGATGGAGCAAGAGGCAAAAGGCAAGAATCTTCTACTTGATGAGCATATGTTTCTCCCCTGGGTTAGCTGTAACTGCTACCTTAGCTTGTTGGTCTCTAAGTTTTCAGTCTTCCTCTTATATTCTGGTAAAGGTGGGGTTGGGATGCTTGGTAATAGGGCCAGTAATCTGATCCAGCTCCACTAGGATCTCCATGGAGAGGTGGCTTGGCCTGAAAGCGTAGAATATAAGCAGCCTAAGTAGCAGGGTAGGAATGGGGGGTGGGAGGTAGTGAACTCTGCTTGTTTTTCTATGTCATTGTGGAGTGTAAAAAGACACATCTCTTTTATACCAGTTTAAAGAAGAGTGGCTGAGAGAAATATGCTGGAGTAGAAAACGCCCCAGGCCAGAAAACAAATACCTAAGTTATAGCAGCAGCTCTATTGCCACCCAGTTGTGTGATTTTGGATATTTCAATTCTCTAGACAACCTTTGATTCATCCAGAAAATGGGATCGAGGGTAAATTAGAGGATGTCATATCTGAATTCTTTAAACCCTTGAACTTAATACAACCCTGAGCGTTTGGACCCTCCTCTGTGTGCCTGAGAGTCCTCGGGGAAAGTGAGTTTCGATTCTCATTCTCTAAACTGTTTCATACGAGACCTGTGACAATGAATTTGGCAAGTGTTCCTGAATCTAAGATTCAAGTGCATTTTATTTAAAATATTATTAAACATGGTGAATCACTGCATTTTAGGGTTAGGAAATCATTTGTAAAAAAAAAAAAAAAAGGAAAGAAAGAAATCATTTGTTAATCAAGTGACGTTAGATACCTTACACCTTTCTCTATGTCTAGGTGAACATGTGACATTGCGGGTGATTTATCAACACTTCATGATTCTTTTCTGTATAGCAAACAATATACAGAGCAGTAGGCAGTGGTGAGGACATGAATGTTGTGAAAGAGGTGCATGCTCTGGTAAAGGTCTTACAGATCCATAGTGTTTTAGATTCCTTAGGAGCAGAGTCAGGATGGACCCTTGTCCAAGTGACTCATGGAGGGCGAGCGCTCGGGAGGAACATCTGAAGGAAGGAGGGAAGCAGGATAAAGCAGGGTCAGTTACGCAGATGTGGGGGTTCAGAAGTCCAGCTTCCTCCTGAGCCCATGGGGAGCGCTGGAAGGTTCTCAATTACATCAAGGTTTTTCAGCCCGGAGGAAAGTGGTGTGGGCTATTAGAACCCCACTTCAGCCAGCCGTTTGCTACAGGTCACCTTCAGGGGCCAGCTGGGGACCTCATCTCCCGGACATCACCGGTTGAAGTGGTTCCCATGAGCCAAGGACAAACCTATGCCGATGGTTTGCCCTTGGCGGTCAAAACCCACATCTGCCGGGAAGATGAATACCCAGCCTGGAAAGGAGAATCTGGGTAGGGCACCGAGAGCATCTCCTGCACATGGTATTAAAAGGAGCCACTTCATGTCTCCATGCTGTCCTTTACGAGCATTTATAAAGCCACCTGTCAGTAAGTGACATGTAAGACAGTGCAGCCTGAACGTCTAGAGGCACAGAGTGAGTGATGCAGCCAGTGTGTGCTGAACGCTTGCTCTGTGCTACATACTGTTACGCAGCCTGTATTCCTCTCAAGAAATCTACAATGTCAGTAACATTACTGCTTCTGCTTCCCAGTAAACCGAGGCACAGAGAGGTTAAGTCACTTAGTCAGGGCCACACAGCAAATGCTCATGCATGATCATTTCATTGGTAGTAATATAGCAGGCCTTCTCTGGAGCTGAGAAAATGGAATTCTAAGCCCTACTTCAGATCAAAGGTTGAATTTGGGCTTACATTTTAACACGTCCCTGAAGTGATCCTTATACTGAAGTGCCAGAGTCATTGTCAAGTGAAACAGGTTTGCCACGTTGGAGAAAAGTAACGGAAAGGACAATATCAACAGGTAAAAGTGATGAGCAGAAATAAATGTGCTGGTGAATTTTTGTAGATAGTTTGAAGGGAGTGAGAAGGAAGGTCAGAATAAAATTGAGAATGGGCTCTCAATTACCAAACAATAATTACACAGGAAAAATAACCTTCTTGTCATCACATTGCTTCTTAAAATAAAAACGAAATAGCAAAAGCAAAAACTATAGGGAACACTGGCCTTGGGNACAGGAAAAATAACCTTCTTGTCATCACATTGCTTCTTAAAATAAAAACGCAAAAGCAAAAACTATAGGGAACACTGGCCTTGGATACCCATGGAGTGTTCTGTTCTGTTTCTGTGCTGGCCTCTGTATGCATTTATCCCCCAAAATATACTAAACTGCCTGTTTCCCAGAGAAGAACTGGATATTATAAAATTGGAAGGGAAATAATATTTCCTCAAAGGTCTTGGAAATAAAAACACTATATAAATATAAGGAAATAAGTTAATTGCTGATATATGATTAGTAGAGTGTTTTTATGTGGATGTATAAGTTGTTCTCTGAAATAGCATGTGACCTATCACATGAAAATGTGTTATAAAAATTGGACCGCAGAGGCAAAAGAGAAAAAAGTAGAGATGATAAGCCTGATGGCACTTGGCTATAATGAAATGTTTTCCAGGCAACTTCATATGCGTACCACCAAGCTACTGTGCCACCTTTCCCAGTGCCCCCTGATCTAATTAAGAAGGGATTGCTGGAGAGTGCAAAACAGAAAGCCCATTCTTTTATAATGATATTGGTAGGTCAGACTCACTGGGCCCCCTGTATCCTGCCACATTAGCTCATCACTGCTGTCCAACTCACTGGGACAGTTATACACAAATTCCAGGTATTGTTTGGAAAAACACTTTGAAGTAATATGCTAATTATTTTTCATTAACTAAGTGGTTTGTTTGCTTTATTTTCATTTGATTGGTGCATATTTCAATCTAATATTTATAAAGAACTTATAATGATATTTTTTATATGGTTCTCTGTGAAAACCAGATTAAATACTCTAGCAATTTGAGGAATTAATAGGCAGTCCTCAAAGTGACTTTCAAAGGACGTAAATGGCATAAATCATATAGTGGAGGCTCTGGAACTGGAGATGAGGGTTGGAAATCCAAATTTTTACACTGTGAAATGAGAAAGAAAAGAAAAGAGTGAAAGAAGGAGGAGCTTTGGGTATTTAAGATTACCTACTGACTGCACTGACCTCCCTGTGCCAACCTACTAGCAGGCGTTCAGAGTCTAGTGCTTGGTCTAATCACATTAGTGATGATTATAAAGAAGCTTTAAAATCCCAAGGCAAGTAGTGTTCAGTGCTACGATTGCTCAGAGAGCATTCGTGAGAAACTGATTATCACAGAAAGCTCAACACACAAAGAGACAGCTCACTCAGTAAGTTAAGAGCTAAGGGAAGGGTTGGCTAACATTGACTTGGAGCAAGTTCAGCTCTTCAGTTGTATGAACTAACTCTCTACCTTTTAGCAAGCGAAAGATGCCCGTGATCAATATAGAAGATCTGACAGAAAAAGACAAATTGAAGATGGAAGTGGACCAGCTCAAGAAAGAAGTGACACTGGAAAGAATGCTGGTAAGCTGCTGTTTTCTTTTGAATTCTGTTTTAAACCAGAGATACTGTAGGATTGGCCAGATTTAGAACCATCTAAGGGGTGTAGAATTTGCTACCACCAAATATGCCAAATAACCTTTGGCATAAAGGTTATTCCTGTGCTTTGCCTGGGAAACTCATAAATGGCCCACAGC